TGTTATTATATATTATATTATTGTACTACTACTGCTTTCTTTTTTTATAATAACTAAGTGACGGGACGAATGAATCGTGCGCCCGATGATAAGCGACACGCCTGTCCATAGCAGTTGCATTACCACTCAAGAGCTTGAACCACAGAGATCTGAGGGGCACTGCCACTTCGCCCGACACCTTGAGACATAAGTTGACAAGTCCCACGTGCCTGTAACTTCCCAAGCACCCCTACATTACCGCTTGGCGGCAGAAATAGGTAAGGTTAGGTACTTCCCTGGACGCATTCTTGCACACGCAGGTCTACTGCTACTAAAATATAAATATTTCTTTCGGCTCGGGAACTGAACCCGGGATCTCTGCATCGCAGTCCAGTATGGTAGCCGTTCGACCACGGAGGCAGTTCTATATTATATGTCTGCCTTTTGTGGGCTACCACTTAGACTACCACATAGCGCCGCGGTAGCCCAAGTGATAGCCCATGTAGAGCCGGGTGCAATGAATACTCTGGCGCCCTCTAGTGTACTCTACTCTCTTTGTAGCTGTAGAGCTCCTTGTGAAAGAGTTCGTCCAGGGAAGTACTGCTACCTTACCGTGAGCGTTACTGCGTTCCGGTTTTGAAAGGTAAGAGTGCTGGTGAAATTACAGGCACATGGGACTCGTCAACATATGTCACAGGGTGACGGGTGCGGTGGGAGTGCCCTATCTTTGCGATTTAAAGCTCTGAGTGGCACTGCAACTGTTATGGACAGGTGTGTTGCTTGTCAGCAGGCGCATGACTTGTTCGTCACGTCATTTGATATCATAAAAAAGTAAACGCGCGATCAAAAAAGAATATTTACAGTTGTATGAAAATGGTGTAATTATAAATGATGTTGGGAAGCAATAGCCCGTTTATTTCGCTTGCGCCGCGAGCGACCCAGGCTCTCTGGAGGCGTCATCGCGAGCGGCCGGCGCTCGGGGCCCCCTAAGGCCCTGCGCCCATGTGAGCCGGACACCCTGCACCATAGAAAGCCGGCACTGCCACCACAATCGAGGATATAACCAAAAATCTGGTTATATACTCGATGGCTACCACAGACGAATTAAGGAGCGTATTGTGGATTGTTACAATTTGAAAACTGTGGTTCCCATAGAAAAAAATTTATTGTCATTGAACTACAAAACGTTTACCCATAACAAAGTTTTACAACTTGTAGTTCCATGATAGTAAATTGTTATGGGAATTAGCACCTGTGTCGGATCTCAGCCAACAAAGATTTGTCGGAGTTTACGGGTAATAAAAAGTGAAAAAAAAACTTTCATAAATATTTTATTATTAAATTTATAACAAAGCACTTGAATAAAGTGTTCTGTTTTACATGCCTAACCTATAAGTATAGTATATATAGTACCTACTTTTGAAACAGTCTCTAAAGTCTCAATTTTCCTGAGATGTTCGAGACGGTTTTTTTTCCAGCACGTGTTCTTTGCCACATCCTTAGAATAATAACGCATAGAAACCTAGCCCACACACGCTAAGTGAGGCAAATTGAAGCGCTCCCAAAGGGCCTACACGAGCGGGCGGGCCTTCAGTGCTCAAGGTCAACTTGCTCCAGAATTTTAGCTAAAAATGACGAAATATGCGGTAAATGAGTGTAAAAATACGTCAGACAAACATAAAATAGATACTAACATCACATTCCACAAGGAAGTAACGCGTTTCAACTTGTATTTTTATATAAATATTCACTAAAACCGAAAATTAACCTACTACTAAAACTAGCCTACATGAATTTTATTTTTGCCTCACTTGTGACCGTTCGTTTGATATGAAACTATCATTCTATGCATTATTATTCTAAGGCCACAATCCTTCTCAACGACAATTGAAATGCAGATGGAAGTGTCGCCAAAACAGATCATATGAGCCCAATCAAAAAGTAGTTGTTGTACACTGTTGAGGATGTCCTCCCATCTGTCTGCCATTTCCAATATCTTAAGATAAGCTTAAGTCACCGTAACGTTTTAATTTCATTAGAATTACATTTATGTGCCAAGTTTTATTGAAACCTGTTAAAGGACATTGGGTAAATTCTATAAATCAGATTCATGGTCTAATTTGCTACCCTTAGAGGCAGAATATTTTCTGCAAATTTGAATAGAACCGCTACTGTGGTGTTCCCTTTCCAACAAAAAATAATCTTCGAAATCAGTTCTCAAATACCAGAGTAATCGCGTAATATATACGGAAGAAAATCAATATCATCTCCTTGTTTGAAGTCGGTTAAAAAAATAGATATTGATAATTTGTAATTTTCAAATTTTATTGAATGTCACGATGTTTTACTATCATGATATTCAATTGTTTTTTGTGAAATCACTTCACTATGTCCATTGACTTACAATTATAACTATGTCATAATTATTAATACAAAGAATATTACAGCAATATCTCTAGTCAGCTGCTGGTAGCTGTAAAGGTAATGGCTAAGTGAAGAAATATATTTCTAATAGATGGCGCTACGGCAAAAAAGTCGTTAAAAACCAAATACAAAGATCTGCAACAAACACACAGTAAAATTTGTAAGGTCTAGTAACCACTAGTTCCGTAGCTCAGTGCGATCCAGAGAGCATCTGACACGGATTGCTGGTTCGAATCCAGCCGGATCGAATATTAATAATAAATAATAAAATAAATAAATAACGCACACACTCAACATAGCCCCGCACTAGGCAAACCCTGTGTCGCGGGTGCCATGGACACACACATAGACAACCACAAATTACACCCAAACTCACGAGAGAAATAATTGTAGGCCATACAACTATTTCTCTCGGCCCGGGAATTGAACCTGGGACCTCTGCGTGGCAGTCCGGCATGGTAACCGTTCGGCCACGGAGGCAGTTAATTACAATTATAATATATATATTATAATATATTAAAATTAATAATAATTACAACAGTTATTGATAAGTTCATAAATGAAGTAGAGAAACTTAACAAACGAGAACTACGTACAGATATACTTTGTGTCCATAGACCTGTTTAGTCGTCTTTCTTAAGATTTCTAGTTGTCCCAACAATCCCACTTATTTGTTTTATTATTCATTTCTTCGCCTCATGCGTACGATATACCAAATTTGTCTACTATAAGATTTATTGTAGATTTTCTTGTGACATTCTAGCTATGTAAGTGAAGAAGTTCTTCAACAAATTTACTACTGTTGGGAAAAAGGTAAAAAGAAATAGCACTATAAGTGTAACTTTGAAACTGATTCTCAACTAAAATTCCAGAAAGTCAAGGTATGTTACAAACCATCGAATTACACAAAACACTTTTTTCTTTTATTGTTATACATGACAGGCAGATGACTCCATTCCACCTGATGTAAAATGGAAAATGGAATCCAAACGTGAAAGAACTTAGTGCAGTGTTGATTCAATCACTGCACTAAGATCCCCTAGCCACCGCCACCCTGCATGCCTACAAGATGGTTACCTATCAGTAGTCTGAAATGATATTTTCCAAAAACAACGTTTGCTCGAATTTTCATAACCTCAAAAGTAATTTTGAGAGGAAAATGTTTTTTCTTTTGAACCTAACCGAACCTAATCGTGTCTTTGCGATAAACATAAAACATATCCTGAAAGAAGAACGGTCTCTTTATAATTCCATTTTCGGTAATAAAAATTCGAACAAACGCTATTTCGGAAAAAAATAATTCGAGTTTGTGATAGGTTAACCTACAAGATGCCTCTTCACGCCGCGTTTGAAGGGCCTCATATCATAAGACGGACGGTATACGTGTCATGGAAGGGAGTTCTATTTCTCAATTTTGCGACAGAGGAAGGTGCCACCAAACCATTTAGTTCGCGATGGAATGCGGCTAGTTGTAAAACGGTGACTACGGAGGCCAGCACGCGAGGATCGGAGCAGGGAAGGGGACCAAAATATCAAATTTCAATAGTCAGTCTCTGGTCTGACTGCAGTAATCTCGAAAGATATACAACATACAAAAACAGAAAGCAGCAAAGCGTGTGGATAATTCTGCAATGATGATGAATGCGTTTTCTACGGGAACGGAAACGCGTAATAGATTGGCTTAAGTTGTGTACTTGAAACTTGTTTTACATTACGAGTGAAGTAACTTCCTTCATATCGTTTTATAATATTATAATAGGTGTACTCGGCATGCATTGCAATGCCACTGAAAACGTGTGAAGGACCCAAACGAGGTAGACTGTACAAAGTTAACCATTTAACCCTATCCTGTAAGACCTAATATTTCAGAAACTTATGCGGACGTGGTCAAAACAACTCACGTAAGTTTTATCGCAATCAGGTTATAAAGCCTTAACTCTCGGCTTAGAGGAAACCCGTATCCAGCAGTGGGATCTTATACTACATAAAGTTTAATAACACATACGTCGATGATTTATAGAAAGGGTGTAGACGAAATTTCGAAGATTTTTCAAGGGAGCATGTTTTACGGCTGTTTTAAAATATTTACCTCCTGTTTAGAAATTCATTTTAAAACTTAATTAACTTACAGGACATCGATATCAGTCAAAAACAGTTATTAAAAGAAAAAAAGAAAAATATAATAAATGTCGCGTACGCCCTTTATATAAAACACCGACGATATACACAAATGCGCGCACATACTCGCGCACGAACGCATACAAGGTCACTCTCTCTCTCTCTCTCTCTCTCTCTCTCTCTCTCACACACACACACACACACACACACACACACACACACACACACACACACACACACACACACACACACACACACATACACACACACTCACGCTCTCACACTATTCCCCAACGAACAATGTTGTGCATAGATGAATATAAACTCGATATTAATAATAGTTCTACAACCTAGGACATCGATCTCTAGGAAATTAAAAATGCATTTCTTTCTTCACTTGACTAAGTTGAGCAAAAGGCGGTATCTGAGTACCGTTAAGAGAAAGCCACTAACAGTAGAGCGCGGGCACGGTCAGTCGCACGACCGGCGTGTGCGCAAGTGGTACGCTTAGAACAAAAGTGCGTGTAAATTGTTTACAACTAACGTAAACAAAACGTGGCTATTGAACTTAAGGATTTATCTTATTTGGCAGGTGAGAATTTGTTACTAAATATGTAGATATTTGTATACAATGCAGTTCTGATAACGTTATTTACATTTACGTTTTTCTATACTGAAACTAACTAAATTTTTTTGTTTTGGTTATAATAACAAAAACAGGTCAAAACTAAAAAAAAATGGGTAAAATACACATACAGGCACACTTAGCGGAACAAAAACGTGAGAATAAACCTTGATATCTAATTATTACGTATTAGATATAAAGTAACAGATTAAATTAACATTATTTAACATCGAATTAGTACAGCCGTAGTCTCTTATTGCAAAAAAAATTTAAAAAAAAATTTGTTTTTTTATTTTTTTTCCTATTCATAAAGTCTATAACTTTTTTAATTATAACATTGATTACATGAAACTTTAATAAATAAGAAAACTGCGTCAACTAAAGTTTGCGGAATTTACAAGAAGGCAAAATCAACCTCGTACCACTCAACAAACCTTTATTAGTAGGAAATTAAATCAAATAAATGCAAAAAATGACACTATTTCTTAATTTTCAAATTAGACTAAACAACCAGGCTTTTGAAGAAACAATGTATTTTTATTTATTATTTTGGTAATTTTGGAAGTATTCCTCTAAAAGATTTGTGTGTATACACAAGCTTATTTGAGCTTCCAACACCTAAACTAGCAAAAAACTGGGTACTAACCTTTAAGTATACTTAAAATAATAAGTTATCCATGAATTTTCCTAAAATGCGAACAATAAAATAAAAGATCTGCTTTAGGAGTTGGAGATATTCTCTTGCTTGAAAATCAACACCAAGCTCGTAAAAACATTAATGTCGCCTTACTTTCTCAAACTCGTGTCTTAAATCACAAAGTTACTGTTTGCCGTCACTGGAATAATCACTCTTTTTAAGATACCAGTTTGAGAAAGTAAGGCATCCATTTAATACTTATCATTAGGACCTAGTTTTTTTACTATTTACGTACAACATTACTAATTTATAGTATAAATATGTTTTTAATGTAAACATATTATATTACAAAGTTATAATGTCCCCAGATACCCCCACCAACTGACAGTTTTAAACAAAAAATGGAACATTTGACAATATAATGTTTTATAAATGACATCTCTATTTAATAGGTGTTGTTGATAAATACATAACATATTGCAATCGGATAATAAATTATTATTTCCACACAAGTAAACAGGCAACTTAAAAGATTACCCAGAGTTTGTTATATATTTTACATATAATAATAATAATCTAAAATAAGAATAAATCCTGACTTGAGTATGACAAGTCAGGACTTGAGTATTGCAGTGAGCACTGAAAATCATACTGAAGTCCTTGCCATTAGGGTCGTATTTCCAGTGCTTGAAATCATACTCAAGTCTGCTCAAATCCTGACTTGAGCATAGATTAGAGTTCTGGAATACGACCCTTAGGGTATTATTCCAGTTCTAGAAAACGACTACAAGAGTCGTTTGATAATCTCTTTGTTGTCAAAGTCGTGTCCTTTCAAAGAATTGTATGAAGACCGACTACGTACGCGTATATGGCGGATGAGGATGGGACACTTACCAAGCTAACTGCAATTGTTTTTTGTCGGCTTCGTAAAGATGTGTACGGTTTGGTATTATCGTGATGCAATGTAATGCCTTTACAATTTACTATTTCTGGGCATTTTTCACGAATAATCTAAAAACTTTTCCGCGTATCGTTGAAATGCGCGGTAAAATATATATTTTTTAAATGATCATAGACAATATAAATTTTTTTTTGTTCAGCTTTTTTTTAGTAAAATTGCAAAAACCCCACAAACTTTTTGGTTAACCCATTATTTTAGGAAAATTCATGGTTTTATTACTATTGTACTTAGTTATACATATTATAAAAATGTAAATGCCAAAGTGCCATTAAGGCATTTCCAAGTTTAGAAAAGAGCACGAAATGTTTAACAAAGTCAAGACGAGATTTATTAAACCACCACATTTACATCATTTAAGATCAGTAAGAAAGAGAGGGAAGACAAACAAATGAAAAGAACAAAACTGCCGTCCACTGACTAAAACGCGGCTAAGTGACAAATGGTCAAATATCCGATTTAAATAGCAAAAAATAGAGCACAAAATTCTCTTTTAAAAACAGTTAAAATTAGTTAACTTGTTCGACTTATCGGAACTAACTAGCTAGCTAACTAACCCTAACTATGCATAGTTGAAATATCATTAAACAATTTCGATATTCTAAAACTATGTTATGGTTTTTTATAAATAATCAAAAAAATATTTTGTCACAAAAAACTAAATAAAAAACAAGGTAAAACAAAATATTTAGAGTATGATCTTTCGCGTGATGTGTGTCGTTTGAAAGAGACGTTTGGTCGTATCCCGCCTAAAAGTTTGAATCAAAATCAAAATGACTGTGTGAAATAGCCCACATCTGCAAAATGAAAACTTTTTAAATGAGAGTTGTAAAGATTCTACAATCGAAATTAGTCGATAACATTTTTATGCTTAAATAGTAGAGTTATAAAATTTGTCATATCGTCGTCTTAGCGTGAAAACTTCGGAAGGATTCCTATGTAATTTTTCAGGACGAAGATAACAATGTGATATAAAATGTAGTAAAGTCATTAATGTTTGTAATTAGCATTTTAATTAGTTGAATTATACCTCTTTTATATTACTATAATAATATATTTCAGCAAGAAGTTTATAAGTTGTTCGGCAACAAAAATCAGTAAAAAGAAAAACTGACCTTGTGAAGATGCGTATACGAGGTTTTCACTCTAAGGCAACGACATACACCATGTGTTTCATGGATGTAGTTCATATTATTGTTGTGACTTTCAATATGTTAAATGCACTTTTGACGTTTGATCATATGTGGTTTTATTATACGCTCTTTGGCCCAATTAGGGTATGGTCTCTACGCACAAATTCCTACAGAATTATATAGGTACGTCAAGTTTGACACTTAAATTAAAATCTACGTCTAAAGTGTCAAGCAAGATGCTCTTGACTATACATGATGAAGACATAATAGCACCTTAAAATACTAACAGAAAAAGTGTATAGTTCAATTCAGAATTTCACATTAGATGTGTGATAACATTACAAGAAGACGTATCGGCCTAAACCACTTTCTTTTTTGCCCACTTTCTGTGGTTAGATACAAGGTAAATTCAGTTAATGACATTAGGGACAACCTTGACTTTCTAATATTTGAAATACTTGTTCGTTGAGTAATATAAAATGATACAAATCATTTGCTAATGAAACGATTAATATGATAAACACAACACAGACAAAGGAATTCTTCAGTCACACTTTAACGAATAATCACACTCTATAAATAAACAACAAGCACATAGTTTTTATTCCATAAAATAACTTTATTCCTAAACGAAAATATAATTAAAAAATAAAAGACAAAAAATGGCGGGTTTTTGTCGTTACAATTTTTACACAAATAAATTTTCAGTCGAAGTACTATTACGTTTTGACTTTCTTAATTATTTGTTACCTAATATTATTAATATACAAAATAAAAAGAAACAAATACACCATACTGTCAAAATACAATGAATTTCTTAAAAAGACCTTTCTCTACACTGTAAAATTCATTAATTCATCAAGAATTCGACTTTTCGGATATGCACCTACTTTGGTGTAGGTACAATAGTTTAGAATCTTCCTGCGTTTCGCAACGCCCAACCACAAACTATAATGTAAATAATCTAAGTAATTTAGAAATAATAGCTATAAATCCCCAAAGGATTAAATTTAATTGCATTTTAACTTATGCAATTAAATTCTTACATTAATTTATAGACAATGAATACAACGTGACTTGATTACTAATTTGATTTTCAAGTTAGAAATGTCTGGTTTTGCAAACACACAATGGGAACTGAAAAAGTACCTATGCGCATTTGATGTAACATTATGTTTTTTTTATCTATATCGAAAATGGCTGACCCATGCACTTGATGTTTTAGATAGTGGTTTTATAATTGCGTGAAAACGTGGGCTACGCATTTTTACATAGTTTATTTTTACTGATTTTAATTGAAACAACACTTGTAAAGTTCTTTGTTACATATATTAAGATAGTACCCGAAATATGTATTTTTATGTCTAGTGGTAAGCGATACGCCTGGCCATAACAGTTGCAATACCACTCAGTGTTTTAAATAAAAAAGAGGGGTACTGCCCCAGCACACTAACACTACTTCTTGGCGTCAAAAATAGGTAATTACGCACACACTCATAGCCCCGCACTAGGGAAACCCTGTATTGCGGGTGCCATGGACACACACATAGGTATACAAACACAAATTATTCTCAAACTCATGAGAGAAATAAATGTATCTGTATAATAAATGTGTATGAATCGAACCCGGTACCTCTGCGTGGCAGTCCAGTGTGGGAACCGTTCGCCCACGGAGGCAGGAAAGGTGTTAATGTTAACTACAAATTTACAATATTATATAAACCACACTTATATCTTCGTTTCTGAAAAATTGCTTAGAAATCTGTTACTAAGTATACATAACGTGACCATACGTCCCGCCTTTAGGCTTCGTGTCCCGCTTTCACAAAACAGAACACACGTATAAATTTAAATGCGAAAAACCAGACATCGTGCACCAGACTACACAAGATTAGTTCTTTCTTTAATTTTTTAATTCATTGAAAAATGTTTCTTTTTTTAATTTTTTTTTATTATCAAACATTTCGTAACCATCAAAAACATTTCTTTTATTTTTAAAACAATAATATATTTACAGGCGTTCTGAGGGGAAAAAATAATGGTCAGGTAAGGTGTACACTATGAAGCGATAAGATCGAAAGAGGAAAGAAAGACACCGGAAAGATTTAGTGCGCTCGGTGAGCGCTTTTTGCGTTTAATTAGTAAATAATTCCAAAATAGACGAGTACGAAGCAATTGGATGAAAAATATTATGCCAAGTTTATGTATAGAGCGACAGATATTATCCTCATATCTACGT